TGCAACAAAATCATGAACTTCATGAGAGCACTTTTTTTTTCATATAACTTTGTTGCTTAAGTACATTTGACAGTTATGTCTTTCGATAAAGAATTATATTTAAAACGGTGGCTCTTGCTCAAGGTTATTCATTCTGGGGTGTACTCTCAGTTACACAGTTCGATTGCTATACACATACCAGAACAGAATTTCTACTTCACTTCTATTTCTAGCTTGTTTCACCATTTCTTCCACTTGCAAATGCCAAGTAAAGGGCCTTTGCCCATGTCTCTTTTGGAATACTCCTTTCCTTCAGGAGATATACAATAGCTGGAAAAATACTCTATTTCCTGTTCCAAAATGCTGTGTAGAAGACCAGTCCCTTTGAACAACTCCTTGTTTTCAGGAGTGGATAAAGTGATTCTTCTGGATAATTTGCATGCCAATTTATTATGTTAATTATGATAATTCTTGAAAAAAATGCTAACTCTTGAAAGCTGTTGTAAACATAAGGCTTATTACATCTAGACTTTTTTTGGCATTTGGCAAATGTTCTTTTCTGATTCATGAATAAGCCTGACCTGGAGGTTATTATCCTCATCTGAAGTAACGGAGAGCTTCTCAAGAAACCTCACAACAGAAGAGGTGAGGTGCCTCCTCCCTGTTCCTGATGTAGCAATCACTGTTGCTGTTTTCAACTTTCCATCTGCAAAATAGCACCAAGTGCACTAACCAAGCAAAGGAATTCAAACAGCTTTAATTAGATGATATTTCACTGTGATGGTTCAGAGTCCCAACAGATGATAGTTTGTCAGTGGACAAGCACTACCAGTAGGGATACATACACAGATACCAAAGACTATTCGAGCATCATCATGTCTGATAAAATGAATATGTATATTCAGAAACTGGCAGCTGGCAGGCTGGAACACTGCCAGGTGTCTTTTGACATACAAATCACTGACCGTATGACTGATGAGGCTGAAAACTATGATGAGATCAGTAAAATACTGCTCAGCTTACTTAGGTCATCACCATTTGACCGAATACGTCTTAATGAAACTGAGGAATAAATGACACTTTTTTAAATAGAAAGTCAAAGAACAAGGATCAAACTCAGTACAGAATCTAACAGGAATTATTCTAGAGTTCAATACACCTCAGTTTGATTATAATTCCTATTTCAGATGTAACATGCAACTTTTTTACCTCTGGATTGCTATCCTACCATTCTGATTTGCACTTACCAAAGTGAACACTAGCTAACTCTTCAACCTGATACGAGTTCCATCTGAATGGCTAGTGGTCTGGAAGTGAGAAGAGCTTCCTACTGTAGCTATTTATTCTACTCTAGCTACCTATCTCTCTATAAAGCACTGTTGATACTGTAACACACCATTAGCAGGAGATATGATAGAAGGGCTAGGGACTTGTAAGAAGTCTTCTGTTCTAAGGAAAAGTCAGTTTTGGACAGAGAATGCACCTACTTCTCTCAAACTCTTCATGATATCCAAGTGGAGCAGAGACTAATCATAAGCTTCCTAAGTGGAGATACTGCTTGGGGGAAAGATCCATGAATTCTTTCCACCTCCAAAAACTAGATGACACATAGATGGACAGACACACAGCTTGGGGGAAGAGGAGAAAGAAGACTCAGACTCCTCAGCAAGTTGAGAACAGAGGTATGAGAAGAGAGCCCAGCCTCCATGCTGAGGGTTCTGCAGAGGTTCTGTTCAGTTCTGCAGAGAATGGAACGAATTATCTGCAGATCAGGACAGGTCTGACAAGAACCATGAGCAGCTTCCAAAGTAAACATGTCCCAATTCTACTTTATCTTTTACTAAATAGAATTTAAAATATTAGTGACCTGAAGGACCTATCTTGCAGAGAGAAGGGAGAGAACCACTACAACTTTACACGTCTGAAATAAAGTGAGGTTCCTTACGCAACATGCCAAGATGGAAATGGAGCAGCACGAAGAAAACTTTGTTTGTGAAATATGCCTGATTTAAAGACACAAGAAAGTGGTCAACTCTAGTTTAACAGGTCGGGAAAGAGAAGCAGATAGATGTGAAATGACTTCTTCATGGGCACACAGCAGAGCACTACCAGGAAGGGGTTTCAACTCCTCGTTTCCCCATGCCTTAGCATGGAGCTAGCTTGTCACTTCAAACTGAACTGCCTCATATCCAGCTACTGCAAACTGCAAAGGTAGAACAGGGATAAGCTGGTACGTCTGTACAAATGTTGAAGACACACAGTCCCTGTCACAAGCCTGAACGACTCTGCTGCTGCTGCAGGAAGTGTTAACATATGTGGTGTGTATTTCAAGTCCTGGAGTATCATTAACACTTTTTATTGATACCATGAAGTTCCCCAGCAAAAATAATAGGATTTGTCAGGGGCTGTTATGAACCGCCCCTGCTGGATAAATACATAATACATGATGGCAAAGGTCTGGTGGGACTTTAATCAATCGCCTTTCTGAGTCAAATAAATGTCACATTAGACGTAAGCCATGTTGCATTCGGTGGGGGCCTCTGCTCCCTTCCTTGCACAGGCCTGACACTGCCATCAGGAGCTATGCATGCGCATAGACTGCTTCTTATTTGTGGCAGATATATCAGAGAAAAACTGGGAGAGCACATTGTAAATTACAGATTTGGGACATCTCGTAATGAAAGGAAAAGGAGAAAGGAAAGAAATATGGGGACATCACAGGCATGATAGGTCAGCTCAAATACATCTCCTCGGGAGCTGGCACTGTCATAGCACCTTTCGCAATCACCACCTAAGGTCTCACTTTTCTGCCCGCAGGAGAGGGAGAAGGAAGTGTGCCATTTATTTCTTCCTGGCAAAAATAGAGAGTCAACTTGAAATGTTAAATTCCCATATTGCAGGCCAGGTATCAATAAAAGAAAGCTCTTTTTGATTGTTTCAGCATGTACCTGAGAAAAAATGTGTGCCCACTTGTACTTTAGCATTCCTCCAAAGAAATTCCAGCAATCACAAAATGACTCGAAAATAAATCTGCATGTATAATTCCTCCTCCAGTTAAGAAAGAGATATCTTTCTTACTGTTTAGTGCTTTTTGTTTTGTTGTGTTTTTGTTCTCCAAGTAGCACTTTAACAGCCATCTACTTCCCTCTCTGAATAGGTAGCAGACATGAATTTAAATTGCAAAATGGAGATCTAAAGGAACACAAATCTAGATTTATTTGGACATGGAGCTTTAAGTCTAAGCTTTAAAGCCTTCATTATTTTTGGCACCCCAAATAGATCTGGTCACCCCAAAACAGTGTCCAGAACACTGGTGGACACTTGGAAAATTTTGGTCTGTCTTAACTGCGTCCAGTCTTGTTCAACTTACTTCTTATTCCTCAGTGACCTGGATGTAGGGACAGAGGCACGCTCAGAAAATTTACTAATGATACCAAACTGGGAGGAGTAGACGACACTCCCAAGGGTTGTGCTGCCATTCAGAGGGACCTGGACAGGCTGGAGAGTTGGGCAGAGAGGAACCTCGTGTGGTTCAACAAGGTCAAGTGTAAGGTCCTGAACCTGGGCAGGAATAACCCCAAGCATCAGTACAGATTAGGGGTTGACCTGCTGGAAAGCAGCTCTGCAGAGGACTTGGATGTCCTGGTGGACAAGGTGACTGAGGCAGCAATGCACCATTGAGGCCAAGAAGGCCAATGGGATTCTGCGGTACATTGGGAAAAGCTTTGCCAGCAGATTGAGGAGGTGATCCTCTCCCTCTACTCAGCCCTGGTGAGGCCACGTCTGCTTTGCTGGGTCCAGTTCTGGGCTTCCCAGTACAAGAGGGACATGGAGCTACTGGAGAGAGTCAAGAGTAGGGCTATGAAGGTGATTAGGGGCCTGGAGCACATGAGGAGAGGCTGAGATAGATGGGCCTGTTTAGCCTAGAGAAGACTGAGAGGGGATCTCATAAGTGTGTACAAATACCTTAAGGCCAGGTGTCAAGAGAATGAGGCCAGACTCTTTTCAGTGGTGGCCAGCAACAGGATAAGAGGATGACAGAGGCCTGGAAAAAAAAACATATTCTAAATCTGCCTAGACATGATCCTGTGCAACATGCTCTACATGACCCTGCTTGAGCAGGAGACTGAACTAGCTGATCTCCAGAGGTTGTTTTAGAATCACTAGATTGCACAGTCCATGTGCATTAAGAGCCACTAGGAAAGTGTAAATTTTTGTTTTAAATACACAAAAACATCTTGTATTAGCAGAATTATAAACCATATGAAAACAAACAAGCCCTCCAAAATCCTACCACCTATTCCCTCCACAAAAGAAAAACAAAACTCAAGTCATGAAAAATTTAATTCTCACTGCTCTAGCTCTTAAAATTGCAATTCTCATTATTAACATAATATATTTCTACAATGAAAAAAAAAACAATGTCAACTTACACAGCAGCAGCAAAACTCAAGGGAATGAGAATAGGCAAGAACCCTACATGATGTTTCCACAGGAATTACTGACAGATTTTTAATTCTAGTATTGTTAGATGTCAAAGTGAATACAGCATATTAAACCTACCTAGATAATGCAGAGCAGGTCTGTACTGGGTAGGAAAGAATACAGGAAACAAAGGGTTCCATGTCACAAAAACAGGTTGAAATACTATTTTCTGTACTTGTTTTACATTTGCACAATGCGGAATTCAATGCTCTAGTTTGAATCACGCTCAAACCGCATAATTCCAATCAGGATATATGTAACTCCAGAAATCTCCTAGCCTTCATCCAGAACTGCACATACTGATTCTATATCAATCCCACAACATCACTGAATTAAACCCAAGCCCTACAAGCTGATCCTGCATTAATATTTTTGGACTACTGCATGAGAATAAGAACAAAACTCAACGGCGGGTCTTGCAGTCACAAGGAACAACAGGAAAGCTCAGAAGGGCTCTACATTGGCTTGAATGGAACTTGAACAAAATGCATGACTCATCTCATGGAAAATAGAAAATGTTTGGTATAAATACTTACACAAGAGACAGGAAAGGTTCCTCCAGGGGAAGGCCACAAACTGACCCTCAGTGATCAGTTTCCACAGGGTGGCTGGGAAATGCTTTTTAAATCCACAAACTGCAAAATCCTTTGAAGTTTTGAAGATATCTGACTCAAAAGCTATGTAGCCGAGAGAGCTAGCAATGGCTAGGGAGTATTTCCATCCTGGGGCAATTCCAGGCCAGCAGAGACTAAATATCCTCTGGTGACTGTTCAACGGCCTGTGTGAAATAGGCTTGTGGCTCCTATGGACAAAAGTTCTTATCACAAAAACCCTGCCCGATTCAAAAGGCATCCTTCTTAGCTGTCATGCCAGATGATGCAGGTCTCTAAAGCAGGACTCTCCTTCTTCATTTTGTCCTTCACAGGAGAGGAGCTAGGCATATTATTTGGGCTAAGGGTGCTTACATTACAACATAGAGCTGCACAGAAAAAAATAAGTTTGCTTAGTTCCTTCCATCAGCCCAGTATCTTTAGGCCTTGAAAGATTTTTTTGCCCTGAGACCCTTGAGGATAAAAATGGACTCATCAAAGTGAAAGGTCTAAAGGTGTGAAAACTTTTGGAAGACTAAGGGCCTAGTTTCCAAAGTATATAATGGAATATCTAAGCTGTATTGTCAACACATTGTCCAGAACACAGTAACCTAGAATCAAACATTGAATAGAATGAGTCATAGCCCAATGCTCTGAATTGTAATGAGAAGATTAATTCCCAATTGACACAAAAAACTATGGCAGATTCCCCTCCTCCTCCCAAACTGTTAGAGAAGTTGCTCAATCTCCTTCTATAAAATGAAGATGATTTGCAGAACAGAAAATTCAGGTGAATTTTAAATTGAAATTCATAATGAGAAGGAAAAGAAGAGACAATGCACCAGAAGGACACTCTTTTGCTACCAGAAAGTGAGGAGAAATTAATTTTATTTAGCTCCCAACAACCGATACTCCACAGCACCAGCAGGTATTGGCCACTTCAGATAAGTGGAAGCTGGGAGCCTATGTATGTGAGGTCTTCAGTCCACAGTATCTATGTTCCCTCTGCAATAAAAGTAGAAACCAGTCCTGTCCTTCCTTCCCTTCACTAAGCTGATATTGTAGGGAAGAAATTCAAATCACCATACTACACAGTGTTCTCCAACAGATAGTAGACTAGGAGTCCAGTGGACGAAGATCATGCAACCCATATGGTACAGACTAGTCCAGATGTGGCCCTGAGCTACTCCTTCCTGACAGATTACAGGGACAGACTACCTCCCTCCTTCCTGCGAAAGTTGTGATAGTGATGGAAAAGTGAAGAGCTGCCACTGGAGCAAAAGGGGGAAAGAAAATGAATGTTTTTTTCATTCAAGACTCAGTAGAGGAGAGTAGGACAGAAAGCATGTTTGTGTATCTAGTGTTTGATCATCCAGCAAGGGAGAGGGAAAGAATACAGCAAATCCTGGAGTAGGGAGAATCATAAAAACTACAGGGTGACAAGCAAGACACTGATAGTGACCATTGGATAGGCTACCTAGAGAGGACCCGTTTAATAGGAAATTTCTCCTCATGAGTTCATGAATCACATGAACTTTAACAAGGAAGTTCTTCTGGTGAAAAAAAAAAAAAGCCTTTGCTAAGTTTGTATTCTTTATTTTCCTTCTACATTGTTTTTGAAGATTTAGACATGAAACCCATAGGCGTAACTATATGTGAATGAGTGGTAGTAGCTGGTAGTTTGGAAGTATTTCTTTCAGGGTTTTGAGCAGCTAGGACAGTGATCTGCATGCTATGGAAGAACCTGAGATGAGAGATCTGAGCCAAAGAATGTGTCTTGAAGCCAAGGGCTTTTTTTTTTTTTAAAAAAAAAAAGGAAAAGAAAAAAGTGGGAGGCATCCAACATGAGAAACAAACCCAGAATGGAAAATTTTAGCCCAAGTGGTTAGAGTTTGGCTATGTTATAAGCCATAGAAAACAAGTTATGATAAGGGAAAGTGTCAAGCAATTTTGATGGTGCAGATGCCAAAGGATTCTACAAATTATAGCCTGAATTCTGGAGATGCTGACTAACGACTTACACCAACATTACCATAGGATTTGATATAAGAAATGAACAAGGCCACTCTATCTAATTAAAACTACAGAGTAAGTTTACGTAAGTGCAATATACTTGAAGCTATAAGCAAGGCTCTGGCAAAACACCAAAAGTAAAATATCGTAATTTTTTAAAAGATCACAAGTGGTCTGGACACTTGATTACAAGTTTCATTCAAAAGAAGAAGCATAAAAACAAAACCTTCCGCGCAAAGTATTTGAAAAACAAGTCGTGTCTGAGGAAACTATGATTCATTCCAGGTTAGATAACTGTAGAACACGTATCTTGGGGAGAAGTGGGCCAAATTCTGTTCTCACGGCCCTGTGCAATCTTGCTGACTTAATTGAAACCATGAACAGAACTTGAACCATTAAAATGCTGGGATGAAATGTTTTATCATACGGCTCTGTTTGTCACTAGAGACATGCTTAACCTAATTACATTATATTAACATAGCAGATTTCTTCAAGATATACTATTATATAATACATAAAAAATAAAGTCTATGAGGGTTGACCATTTTTCCCAGTTATTCATGTCATAAACCAAATAATTACCTGTTTCTATTTATGTCATTTGTTTTCAACCCAATATTTTCCTATTTGGTGGAGTGGTCCTACTGGTGAATCCACCAATCATTTTATATTCACCGCTCAGTATTAATTAATCATTATTACTTGTTTTGGCCATCAGACAAAATAGCCAGGGGCTAATCTTAAGTCTGTCCTTGATTCAGTGTGGCTAGATTCATATTAAAATCATATATTAAGGATAGTTAGGAATTCATCTTCCTTTGCTTTTAAGGAGAATTAGGTTCCTAAGAATTCCTCAGGAAGTTTTACTCATGGCAGTTAAAATAGTGAAATCCAGCCATGTAAGCTACATTATGTAAGCAGGCAATTGATTTATAAGACTAAATATAATTTTCAAAAGTGACTAAGGCATTTAAAGTCAAGTCTATTGGAAGTCAGTGAAATTTTGGCTGAAAATCACTTGGTGACTTCAGAATATCTCACCTTTGTTAGCTTAACTACCACTGATTTTCAATAAAATTAACATCTTAAATGCCAAAGTCTCTTTCGCAAATAGGATTTAATTGTTTCTAAAAATTCAGTAAGTGGCTTGTCTCAACCTGCTTCAAGAACCTTTTCTTAGAAGTAAGTTGGGTTGATTCTGCTCCATTTCAGCAAAGCAATTTAGGTTCTAATGAACTATCAGATGAGAAATACTATCCTTTCAATCCCCAGACCAGTAAAAAGTAGGCAAATGCTGAACTGCTTAGACCCAGATTCAGATAATCATGGATGGACAGACTGCTCTTATAATATCTTTGTCATTTACAACTATGTGACCAGCAAATGGCACAGCTTTACATTAGATAATCCACTCGATGTATTGGATCTCAGATGCAGAGCCCTGTTGCCCTTCTCCTCCTGGTTGCACTATGCCTACACTGTACCTAAACCAGAATTTAATTGCAGTGGAAGATGAAGAAAATAATTTACTGGAGAATTCAAAGGGGACCCAAACTGACACAGTACCATGCTGGGAAAAAAAAATGTTAAAACAGGAGACTCTTTTCAGCTGAAATCCTGCAGAGCCCTATAAATGAGGGGGCAGAGAGGCTACAGTGCATCTTTGACACGGCAGAGACAGATTACAGCAAAATTAAATTGAGGATTTTAGTGGATATAATTGTTGTTTTTATATATTAATGAACAACAATAATACGTGATTCTAAACCGAATACCAGGTTGACATTTAATCTGAGCTCTCGTGATATCCATAAATGTTCATAAACGTCACAAGACCCCTACCCTTTGATTGAATTACAATGTAGCATGCAATTTAAGAAATATGGATTAATCTACATAGATTTATATTTCTGCAGATTACATTGTTATTTCTTGATTTATGCCCTTTTTCCCTAAGTGTCCTTTCCATCGAGAATCCAGGGAAACACATGCAAATCTTTAATATGAGAGCAAATATGAGAGCAACTCAAAAAACACTGAGTATCAGCACATGGAAATCGGGTTCAGTGAAACCTACACTAATTACCATTTGCTTTTTGAAGTCACCCCTGCTAATGGCCGGCAAAATCTTGTGCCTGTGATACCTCCTATTACTTCTCCATTAACTCTTAGTACAGCCAGCAGTCACCTAACGTGTTTCTGGCGATGCTATGCAATCAAACCACCTTTCAATGAGCTTGCTGAGGAATCCAAAATGGAAACTGCTTTAATATTAGGAGTTAATTATGAGGATGTTACAGGAGGCAGTCCATTGCTCTCTGAGCAGACCGGGTACGTGTGAATGCCATAGCCACAGGTGTCACGTCAGGGGCATGGAACCCTACCAGGAAAAGGGATGTAGCAACATGGATAGAAAACTGATCTTAAATTGTTTTCTTTTCTGTGGTCTCGCTATCCGAGGTGACCACTTCCTTTATGAGCCAAAATATCTGGAACTCACTGTCATCTATTATTAAGAGGCTTCACTGTACAACGGCATCTGCTTGGGGACTGGCAGTGACACCTCCTTGCTGTGTTAAGCACAGAAACTGTCCCGAAGGCCAGTCTAGCAGGGGTACTTCCAGCACTCCTGATCCTTTTGCAGGTCAGGTCCTGCTCCTTTGAAAATCAGCGAAGTTTTCCCAAAACACTGAGTTGGGCTCCCCTTTTTGCTCTGCATCCCCTTACTCCTACAAGAGGGTCAGCTCCGCAGTCTAACCCTTGCGGTTGTGAATCTGTTTGTTCATTCAGACAAGCACTAAGAGAAGGACTGGCTGTTCTGTCTAATAAGAAAGGAAATAAACATCACTGTTAAGCGAGGGCTAGGAAAGAGATGACTCAGGAAGAACTGAGGAGATGCTTTTACAACTGACAGCTTATTCCAGGAAGGGAAAAATCATGAAAGAAAGAGGATACCACAAATCAGGCTTGCAGACCAGTCTCACACCAA